GAGGTCCTTTTACGACTGCTTGAACTTGTACGCTCGGAACCGTTTAATGCAGACAGTATCCCGAAACTATGAGAACAGGATATATGGCATGCTGATCCCCAGCGAGAGGGATCGTAATTGCCTCTGAGAAAATTTTGTTGAATTGTGAGAGTCGTTGACTTTTCTCGATTCTTCTCTCCTGTTCTGGGAGTGCGTATATCCTCGCCCGCTCGACGGGTTTCTGTGGGAAAAGTGACAAGCCTTTGTAAAAAAACTTTGCCATTTTTTCCCGCAAAAATGTCTCGGTAGGAAGGCGAAAATTCGGGAAGATAGGAAGATAGCAGTTAAAGACAATTCCCGCGATCAAATGTTACGGGTAATTGGTGCTCAGTCATGAACCAGTGGCCCATAAGTAGCTCCTCAGTAGAAAAAGAAGCGAAAAAACCTCGGGAACATCCCTAAACACAGACCTCCCCTCAGCAGTGGGGCGGCTTCTTGGACGAGTATGTCGGACGTAAAGGTCCAAGGTCTCTCCAGTGCGATTGGGTCTACGGACAACTTGAACTCAATCCCTTTGAACGCGTCGATCTTCTCTTTTTCTCTGCACTCTCTCGTCCGCATGGCACTCTATGGCCGTTGTGACTTCGCTCACTCCAGCTTTTCACCGACTATAAGTAGCTCACCCACCCGGAGTCCCCTCCCCTTGAAAAATCCCGTTTCCTGGCTCGCCATACGTTTTTTGTACGTTTCGATGCTTTGGCAGCCGCTGCCCTCTATCCGTCTGCGTCACAGGGTTTCGTAGCAGGACCATGCACAAAAGTTCAAGATGGCACGTAACCGAGCGATGGAGCGCAAAGCTTGAGCCGTGGGACCGTGGCGTGAGCGCCAGGCAATTCCTGGCCAAGCGATGCGATATTCGTGTTTGGAGGTTGAAGGTCTGGAAACAAAATTTTTAGCCTTTTTTTGAAAAACTCGACTGGTCTGATGTCGAAAGTGACAATTGAATAGTGCCCCCATCTGAAAGATCATTAGGTGAGTCTGAGAAACACACTAACTGCTCTTCATTTCACATCCTCCTCTTGCGACGAGTATGGAAGAACTACCTGCTCTTCAGTTCACGTCCTTCCCATCGCTTGCAGAGTATGAAACTCAAGAAAGGCTTGCTGCTCTTTTGTTCACATCCTCCTAATTGGAATCGCGCTTGCAAAGACTATGGAACCCTAAAACAGCCTAAGTCGTCTTCAATTTATGTCCAACGGTGCGAGGTTTGCGCTTAATCGCTATGGAAAGCGCGGATCACCGAAGATGGCAAAGTGCCAGAAGCGCCGCGCGCGACACGTGCCGCGCGGGTGTTATAGGAATAAAAGCTTCTGAGCCGTTGTCTCGTACAGCTACAGTATGATGTCGCACGCGTTGCCACGCCCACGTGTCTCTAACTTCTTTATCTCGCCGTTTTGAGGGTTTGAAAAGGGATATTTTCTCTGTGAACGCGTACAACATTTCAAAAGGCATGGAGGCATTCTGAGGACCACCTGATCGCGGGAAGGGTCTTTAAAAAGAGAAGGATGGGGAACAAGGAGAGTCGTACCATAGGGAGAAACTTTGGAGGGGCGGCGGTGGGGGGGGGGGGAGGAGCGTCACTGCCAGAAAACCTTTTTTCTTTCCTTTCCCGTAACGAAGGAGTGCTGTGTTGCGAAAACACATCATAATATCGCCTTCATGTATCCATTCGTCTCAGGGATTTGTCACTACCGCGGGAAACCCTCTCTCTCTTTCCTTTTGTTCTTACCTCTCCTTCTTTTCGCTTCCTTCCTTCTCCTCCTTTACCTTCTCCCTCCAACTACTGGACTGGTAGATGCCTCGTGAAAATACCCTGGACCCTCGCGCGAGAGCACGTCTGGTTGACAACAGCCCCGTAACCATATCCATTGAGCTAGGTTCATTTCATCCCTTCCTTCCTATCCATATTTTTCGCTTCCTTCTTGAATGTTTGTTTCTTTTTATAGTCAGTGCTCCAATCTTCACGATTTCGTGCTGGTTCATATTCTGGTCGCATGAGGGCCGAGAGTCTGCTTGTTCTTTTCCAAACTCTGCTCGTAAGACTGCGCACAACTCCTTCATTTAGTTTTTCTTACCACAGCAAGGACCTTCGACTCCCTTGGACCCACTCTTGATTCTAGTTTGTCTTCACCTACGGAAGTCGTAAACCGGGGCGCAATCATGAAAATGTCTTACGGAATTCACAATGCAACTTACCTCATTTGTAAGTGCACTATGACGGTTTATTAGCAGTAGACTCAGCCTAAGCCGATTTAAGACATTTAGGAACTCATAAAGCTTGTGTAATGTTTACGTAGGCTTCGGGCTCCTTTTCGGACATTGGGGCTGGTCCAGAAAGTATAGGGCTTTATTCGAAAGTTACCACAGTGATCCTTAGGAAACAGGAAGGTGTCTTCAGGAAAGAATTGAGCGGTTTGGAACAGGTTGTCGAGCAGAAGAAACAAGTACTTCGCAGTACAAGTGGAGCCGATGTGATGAGTGCACAGCAGGTGATTTCATCAGCTTTCATTTTCGCCCTGCATGGGTGTATGTAAGTGGCGCCTTGGTAGCGCCAGTCGTGACAAGATCGTATTCCAAGCTGTTGTAATTTCAGTTCAAAGCCTACGTGATCAAAGTGCGCGATAAAAAGGTCGTCTACAAGAAGAAGAAAGCTCAGAATCGAAGAAATTCTCACTGAACGTGAAGTGCTGCTCAGAACCATTGATCTGCTCGCCAAGAAGTTCCAATGGCTCAAGGAGAAAATCGTAAGAATATGATTCTTTCGGCGCAGTTCGGCTCGAGGGGCGCCCGATATTCCCTAGAGAATTGTGAGCAGGGTTGCTGTGGATACCTATAAATTCCCAGTGCGATCCCTCTACTTTCTTTTCCTGGTACGACCCACTACTCATCCTACCTGCCATCCACCTTGTCGAATTCCTCCAACCTACAGTTTTCCAGAACCAATAATTTTCGGTTTTTCAAAAAACTGGCGTCGAGGGTGGAGGGTTGAGCATTGAGGCGGAAAAAATCTTGAAACGAGGAAAAATTCAGAGGAGATCGACTCCTACGGGGTTCCCCCAGCGATACTGTACCCTGTTTGGAAGGCCATCAATATGTCACACAGCGTTCCTTTATCCTTCCTGCCTTGAAGGCGAGAGTTGCTCCCACTGTCATTAGGATGGCAGGATCTCCTCACCATTATGCCATTTCAAAAGGCGCCCTTCCATCGTCAGTTTATAAAATCTATCAAGTCTTCCTTTATCCCCTTAAAACCCTTTCCACTGGAAGATCGTTTGACAAGGACATTTCTTTTGAGGAAAGTATGGACGGAAGGGTAGTAGATCCAGTGGTAGAGCCATTACCGACACGACCCCGAACAGCAGCGCCAGCGTCCTCCGATGTGGAGGAGCTGAAGACTTTGGTGGTGGACCTGATGCAGACACTCGATAAACGTAGCGACCAGTTGGCTCCTCTAAAGAAGATTCATGAAGAGCGAGCAGAAGCTTTGGAGGTGAGACTGAAAAACGTTTCTTTTGATCCCTTCTTCTTACAAAGTTCTGTTGCAGGAGCATACGGAACTTGTTCCGCAACAAACAGAACGAGTATGAACGACGCAAAGCGCAGATGGAGAAGAGCTACGAGGAGCAGAAGCAGGTTAGTCAAATCAAACTCTCATCTACTGTCTTCGTTCTTAATGCAGTTTATTATGAGATGCAGTCGTCACAGCTGCAAAGGACGAAGAATGTGAAGGGGCGGGGGATGAAACGCAGCTAGGGCAACCCTTGTCACCGATTTTCGTGGCCCCAGGACTGTATTACTCGGTGGAGGGGGGTGCCCTGACAGCACTCCGAACTACGCCTCTTCCGTTGCGAAGATAGACTGAATGTGAGTCTGCCCTCACAACTCATCTCACTCTATTAATGCCAAAACATCAGAACAGATATCGATTTTGCGCACTGTAATATTCTACCTCATTTTGTGCTTGGTGAGCGCGAAATAACAAGAACCTAGGGTGGTCAGGGTACTCCTAAGTCTCAATCTCCACCTGTTGCTATTAGCGGATTATGACTAGATGAAGTAGATGCATGAAGGGAACAGAAACGGATAATGCTCTCGCCGTTGAATTAGTCCGTTTTTGGGATGCGGCGCGCAATCTGCCTCCATTCAGAAAAACGCGACAATTGAGATGCGATAAAACCTTACCAATTATCCTGCTGGGACCGCAAACCACTCAAATGTAAATGTTTTTATTCTCCTAGATCTGTCTTGCAGCAGTTTACCGTCTCCGATGATGGGTGCTTTTTCGGGGTGGGCGGGATTCCATCCGAGTTTTGCAGCGCGCTTCAAACCGCTAGTTTGAGCCAGACCAATACCCATCACTCACTTCGTGAGTAGAGACCCAGACACGAATTTGTCATTGACATAATCCCTTTCATCACGGGAAAAGGCTATGATTTCCTATAAAGGAGCTCAGTCGCTGTAATCACGTACACCTGAAATCCCTGCGATGGGGTAGGCGTGGCTGCGTACTTGATTTGAACGTGGCGACGGCCAAGGTTTTCGTGAGGTATTTTCGTTCCAGGACAGTATAGCGATGTCTTGTCGCAACATATAAAACAACGATGACATCTTGTTACAAGCTGAAATATCCAACAAGGACCCATTCTATGCCATTTCCACAATGCCACGCCCTTTTACTCCGTCCTCAGGATGAGGATGTTTACATGAGTCAGTGTGGCTAACCTCTACTGATACGTCGCAATCAGTAAGAGGTGGTGTCGAACGGGTGATGACGCCACTACGGCTTGTCTCTGCTCTGCCCGAAGGCGATGCGGCTCTGACGGCGTTTAAAAAGAAAACTACCAGTGGCGTGAAGGCGAGGTTGCAGCGGTATCCACCAAATGATGAAACTGCCCCAGCATGGTATCAACCGCACGTCTATCCGTTGAAATTTTTCTGTGCAGCGGATGAATTCTTAATAAGTCTTGATTCTAGGGTCTAGGGGCAGCACATGAAAATAGGTCTGTTTGTCCTCTCAGCTTACCCCACTGATAGGGTTCCACTGGAAGCATACCCTCTATGCTTCCAGTGGAACCTATCAGTGGGGTAAGCTTTATAATAACAGGCGGCATTTCAGTTAGTAGAAGAAATGAAGCAGCAAGAAGCAGCCACCACTGAAATGATTCAATCACTGGAAAACCAAATAGCTGAAGCTGAAAGTCAACTATCGGCAATTGACAGTGACGATGCAGATGGAGGAGTAGCTCGACTAAAGGTAAGGTTGCACTTATTTTTCTAATTTTCAGTTTTTTTCAACATCGGCGCGAATATTCATATAAAGTTGTTTTAATTATCATAATTTCAAGGCTGAACTGGAAGAAGCACAGCAGCAGATCGAACAGCACACTCAACGAAGTGGGAACAACACAGATTTGGCTGTAGCGCGAAATCGGATGGCAATGTGGCGCGGACTTCTGACAATGTTCGAGACAAAACTTGCGATTTCTAATGAGAAAGTAAAGATGATGTAATTGCTGGCCTCCTATTTTGTTTGAGATGGGCCAATTACCAAGCATTCAGTTTTACCGCAAGGGTGCATATAAGGCACTCTTTGCGACCGCTTGTAGTAATCGAAATTGTGTGGACAAAAAAGGGCAAACTCAAACAAGTCGCGTTGAAACGTTGAAAGGAGGGTGTTAACGGGTCCTACTTTTCGTCCTTCCCCGTCTGCTTTGCATGCTCCCTCGCTCACCTGTCTGGTCTTTCGCTGGAAATTCCCATTAGCCATCTTGTCCTCTTGTCCGGTGGCCTTCCTTGGAGTCCTTGTCTTCAGTGATTTCTTGAAGCCACAGCCAAGGTGTTAAATCACTTTATTGGGCTTACGTTTCGGCTAGTCGCCTTCGTCAGAGCCTGATTAGTGTTATAGATTCCAGTTGATTTTGCATGATCGTTCTATCAAGAGTCATTTTTCAATACTTTAAAATTAGTTATCGTTAGATCAGGCGCTAGTCTTTATCGTGTGTTATCGCAAATTCTCTAAATACACATTAATATTCTCATCTCTGTTGATCATATCCGTTAGTTTTTTATGATCCTCAGCTCTGCTATATACTTGACTAATTTTGTTGGTTGTTGTGCTTCAGAGATCTCCGTAGGTCCTCTATCCCGAATGCCGACTGGCGATTTGAAGCCTGCACAGGTCAACGAATGGGGCTGAGCCTTCGTTTCGTCAGGCGTTGATCTGAAATATCATGTGCCGCTCATGTGGCGTATGAGTTATAACTGGGGGCAACAGACACGCGACTTTGTTCCGGATTACGGGAAACACCTGGATGGCTTGGAAGAAGTCAAGAGACCGGAGAACCCCCTGGGAGCTCACGTCTTAGGCCATTGCACTGGCAGGGTGCGGAGTTTGAGGTGACCGTGAGGATTCTGATGCGAGAGCCCCAGACCTCAGCCCGCAAAACTTTGGAGGCCTTTTGGATACGCGCTAAAGTTCCAAAAATGAACAAGAAAGACGAGTGTCTCGCCATTACAAACGAGCTCGCCCCATTCGTTGACCTGTGTGGGCTTCAATCGCCATCGGCTTCAGGTCGAGGGGCTGGGTCATCTGAAGCCACACAGTTAGTCAGTTTAGCGGTGGTCCTCTACAAAACCTACCGTATGGTCTAAGGTGAGTTCTTGTGTTTCGGATTTGCGATACCTTCCTAGATGCGCTGATCTACGAACTATTTCTAAGTTTGAAATGATTTGTGAGGATTGAATCACTGATCTTCAACTTCCAGGCTCTGACGAAGGCGACTAGCCGAAACGTAAGCCCAATAAAGTGATTTAACACTTGCTTGTCCGGGAAGACAAGGACACACACCATGCCAAGGTTCATGGACAGTCGAACATGGAATACTTCCTTGGAGTGTTTTCAACGGTTTCTGTTCTCCAACAAAGCTAGCTTCGACCTATCCGACGGCCTATCGCAAAATCTGCCTCCAGGTTTCGAACTGGTCAGGGGATTCTTTTAAACCATGTGACAAAATAACTTTGTGGCGTCTTCGATGGAACACGAGGAATTTATGGTAGCTTTTGTTTGGCTCCTATCAAGGGTTCCAAGAATTCAGGGCCAATTTTTGAATCGTGTTCGGTCCGCTCAATTGAACTTCCCTGCCTATAAACTCAGCTCATCAGTGGATTTTGGCACTTTTACCAGTAAAAGCAGCAGTTTTATCAGTGCTAAGAACCCCACTTTATAACGGTCCTTTCTCTCCGCCTTTGCTTGGCTGTCCCACGACGCATATTTCTCTATTTGCGTGAATGCCCTTTTGTCAGTCCCTCTGTGCACGTACAACACTACCGCTAGGGTTCTCAAGATTTTTCCCTATCTAGGAGTGACTAACCGTTTACTGTCTTCTTAGGCACATTTCTGTAGGGAAGGGGCTGCTCTTGAAGTGTATACTTCGCAAGATTTGGAAAAATAGCGAAAAATTGTGTCTGAACAAGCTGACAAGGAGAGAAAGTAGTGTGAGGTACAGAAGCCTGAAGGTGACGTTATGGGGAGACGGACAAGAGAATCGTAAATTGCCGCTTCGTCGCGCGCGGCGATGGGCGCACACGTTCCTTCATTTACTACCCTTTCGATTGGAGCATCACATTTCATGTAGCCTAGGACGTGACGTGGTGACACTTATGTTTATTTTTGTTCATACATTATCTATTCTCGACCAATACCACCTGAAACGGTGTCATTAGCAGGCGCGACGTCGCACGCGACGCCCGCGCGAATTACGATTCGTTTGCCACATACCCGACGGTATGACAGTTGGGGAAAGCAAAGGGAGAAGGGGTGTGACGGACGTCATTTTCACTTATTAGCAGCAAAGACAGCAAAGGAGCAAATTTTGAGGGGGCACTTGCACGACATTCACACCAGGACCTATCTGATTCAACGTTGAAGTGTTGCAATATGCGAAGTCAATGAACTAGTGAAGACTCTGCCAGCTTGTGCACTTCGCGTGACAGGGAACGGCGCTGTTCGGCCTGGGGGGGGCTTTTTGCACTTTCGCTAGTTCCTTTTGCTAGTCCCTGTAAAATGACACGTCCGAGCTTGATGAGAACTGCAGACTCTTGCCAAATTTGAACGACGGAGCTCACAGCTTTACAGGACTCAACAGGTCTCTACACGAGGCATTGGCAGTGATCAATGGGAGCAGCAAAATGCCTCCACCAAGCCGAGCTGTCCAGAACTAACGTCCCTAAGCCACGCCAAAAGCTGAATGCTGTTCTAAGAACTTTCTCACTATTTCAAAGTCTGCTCTTAGCAAGACATGCGTCAGTTTTTTTCTCACATGCCTCTGCTTTTTTCCTAGGGCTTCAAATCCGAATAGAGCCCTTTGTACTCAATCTGACGTTCAGAAGTACAAAACCCAGAATACTTCATTGAATATCCATTTGGTAAAAGCCTATGTCTTCGCAACAAAGTTAGCATCGCTTCCAATTCATCGTGGCGAATCCTAGAATAATCACCTGTTTGGAATTATCTCTGGAAAATCCAAAATTGTGATGTAACTAACGCCTTCAAACGCCACGTCGAGACCAAGTGAATCATGAAGCACTTTCTGTATCGTGGTCATGATATTCATTGGGAGCAGGAGCTCATGTTTCTGAAATAGCTGTTGTTTCCGGGAGACCCAAAATCTGAGCCATTCTAGATCGAGTTCAGTAAAAGCTTCTCATTGTGCTTACGGAGCGGAGGTGGTGCAGTGACAAGTGGCGCGCTTACCACTCGCGCGGTTTGGTTCAAATCCCGGGTCGACTCCCGCCCAGGCCAACCAAGCCTTCTACCCTCCGGGGACGGTAAATTGGTACCAGAGGATAAAACACTGACTTGTACCCTTTTATTCTTTGTGCTTACGATTTCGAATCATTCCTCAAACATTAGTCCAGGTTCTTCTGTCCGCCTCGTCGATGTATATACTGTAGAATGGGTACTGATTTTTGCGAGCGAGTAATCTACTTTTATTTTTTTCAGGCGGGATCTGACAGAAGGGCTCGGAGTGTGGAACCAGCTTGGCCTAATCCTAGTAGGAGCACGTCACACGTCGGGATCCGAGCGAGAGGGTCATTTGGCCGTTGGGGAAGGGGGGGAGGTCGTATCTGCTTTTGAGAAAGTATTTCCGGTTGTTGTCTTTCCGCGGTTTTCGCTCTTTCACGTGTACCCACAGACCCCCCCCCTCCTTCCTATTATAAACAGTTTTTGATGAGAAAGTGGAGAAATATTCGGCGAAAAAACATTGAAGAAAGTGGATTGAGAAAGGTGGTAGGAGGGGTGGGGTTGGGAAGGGAGATCGTACAAGCGAAGGAACTTTAGAAGGGGTTGAACCTCGCAAAAAACCTCGACAACGGCAGGACGTGCTCTGAATATTATCGGCTGAAGATTGAACTGAACCGAACTAAACTATTAACAGGGGTAGGGTATTGCTTTAGCCGTAACCAAGATGGTATAAAAGTTTTATTGGCTAACGTTTCGGCGCCTTATCGCCTTCGTCAGAGCCTGGAAAAAGTCAAAAATCAAAGTGAAACTACCCTCGGAAATCATTTCAAACCTCAGATAAGCTAGTCCCAGACCAGTAGGATCCAGAAAGTCATAGAACACAACCACAAACGACTCACCTTTAATGCACGACCGGTTCTTGTTTGAGACCACCGCTAAATAGACTCCCCGTCGGTGGCTTCAGCTGACCTGACCGCTCTACTTGATGCCGATGGCAACTGAAGCCCACACAGGTCAGCAAACGGGGCGAGCTCGTTTGTGATGGTCAGGCATTCGTCCTTTCTATTCATTCTGGGATTTTTAGCGCTAATCCAAAACGCTTCCAAAGTTTTGCGCGCCGAAGTCTGTGGTTCTCGCATCAAAATCCTAACTGTCACGACTCAATAACATAATAACATAAAAAATCCCAGAATGAATAGAAAGGACGAATGCCTGACCATCACAAACGAGCTCGCCCCGTTTGCTGACCTGTGTGGGCTTCAGTTGCCATCGGCATCAAGTAGAGCGGTCAGGTCAGCTGAAGCCACCGACGGGGAGTCTATTTAGCGGTGGTCTCAAACAAGAACCGGTCGTGCATTAAAGGTGAGTCGTTTGTGGTTGTGTTCTATGACTTTCTGGATCCTACTGGTCTGGGACTAGCTTATCTGAGGTTTGAAATGATTTCCGAGGGTAGTTTCACTTTGATTTTTGACTTTTTCCAGGCTCTGACGAAGGCGATAAGGCGCCGAAACGTTAGCCAATAAAACTTTTATACCATCTTGGTTACGGCTAAAGCAATACCCTATAGGAATTCAAAGTATGCCAAGATTCATCGAGAGTCGAACCTGGACACTTATTAACAAACTATTTATCTCTCCCGACTCAAAAGTACCCTAACTAACCGCGAGACTTACCGTTTCTGTTGTTCCCGGGCTAACACTGGATCCCGCTTCAACTTTTGCCTCGTCTTCCGTGCATATGGTAACGACAGAGCCGTCTGATACAGATTGACGCTGCAAAACAAGATTGCTAATTGGTGAAAATCTAAAGTCAATCTTGAATTTTCAGTGAGATGGAACCGGTTGAAGAGTGCTGGCTGGCGTGGTGCAATTTTTGGAAAAAACCTTATCACAAACTTTTGCCATGAATAGCCGTAAGCCTCCTCCCCACTTGGCTCCTCTTCTCTGCCAATGAGAGCGGCTCTTGAGATGGTCAGAACCCTTACTCTGCCTTCAGGGCGCCTACTTCAAAGACAAACTGTACACTCATCTCTGTGGATCCCAGTCCCCACCGGTTGTGGAAAGAATGCGCCCGCAGCTGCAGTATTGTGCTGCTTTCAGGGCGGAGCTGGAGAGTAGTTTCACTTAGACTCGCTCATGGCAAGGGCCGTCCTCAATTTGAGCGTACAGTGTCTTTGGGCTTTGAGGAAGCGTATGTCGAGGAATCCTTGACGAGGGCTCGTCGTACGTGGCCGCTAGTGGGCAGGCATGAATCTGATGAAAAAATTTACTGAATGTTGGAACCCTCCTTCCAGATACTCTATGTGCCACCACTAGTCGGCGGCGCGGCAGTTTGAATTCGGAGGTCGCATTTGAGGAGAAACATAAGGGGGGGGGGATCGTATCGAGTAAGAAATTTCCCTCTCCCTTGATTTACCCTGGCTTGCTTCTATTCAGTCAGGTCTGGGGCTGCCGAAAGTTTCCGCTAGTACTGCAAATGGACCGGAACCACATAGGGTTGAAAGGTGACTTCAAACAGTTGATTTCCACATCTGAATTCCGCCATAGCACTGACCGATGTCTGGTGAACTCTCTGATACTGTTCACTTTCTCCTGGTTTAGTCAGTCGGCAACCTTCTGTTAACTGTTTCTTTCGCTGACAGGGCTCTACATGTGGTTGCTTTGAGAGAATCGCCAAGCGATCGTTGAGCCTGAAATCGAGTCAGTTTCAATGGCCCTTCAACTTGAATCAACTTTTTCTGGGACCGAGCATATATAGTTTCACATATGGGGATGCCCATATGTGAAACGTCATAGGAGTCGTGTGTGTGGAACATAACCGGAATCGCATTTGGTCGCTGGAGGGGTATGTGCCAGGTTTCATTTTCCCCGTCTCACGCGCCCTCTTCTAATCGGTCGCGCTGCAGGACTACCTATTTGTAAAAATAGTTGATACGGAAATGTCCCGTTCCAGTCATAAGGGCAACGTCTTCCAAATTGTTAGGGAGTCTTGGTGACTCGGGCTGCTGTGAAAAGGGTGTCGCGCTGGGGAGGAAACTTGAGTAGGGAGAGAAGGGTCAGCGAAAACTCTCCCAAATGCTTTCCCGACAGGCAGCCGCCCTTTCGAGATCAGTGTAGTCGCAGTAACTAGCGCTTATCTCTTTCTACTTCAACATAAAAATAAATATTGTCATGAGGGTCGCCAGTGTGGTACCGATGTTCTGAATAAAGGATCCTGAGTACGACTTATTTTCGCATGTGAGTCCTTCCTTCAGAACATCTGCCCGGTAGCATGGTTTGCCTGAAAGGCAGACTTTGAAGGCTGGGTTGGGAAGCGGAGTCACTGGGAAAGGGAAGTACAGTCGTCATCCGGGGACTTGATTAGGGCGGCAAGGGTCGCGACGCGGCTGCGGCGTGTCACGAGCGCGGCGATCAGCTGTTTCCAGCCTATTTTAGCCATTTTCTCCCTAATTTACACTGTTATGGCTGCTTTTCTCGAGATTAGTTGTTCCTTGTCTTCACAAGGTAAATTATGATTGAGATTCCTCTGTTTTTTGCGCACAATTAAACAGTTAGGCAGACAATTGAACAAACACCTGAAAAAAACGCAAAAACACTCTATTACAGAAACAAAAAAACTCCACGCCCTAATGTACTTCATAAAGACAATAAAACAACTAACCTTGAAAAATAGAAATACAGTGAAAATTAGGGAGAAAATGGCCAAATTAGGCTGGAAACAGCTGATCGCCGCGGTCGTGACGCGCCGCAGCCGCGTCGCGACCCTTGCCGCCCTAATCAAACCCTGGATGACGACTGTGCTACTGCGGCATTTGCCCCTGGGTTGGCTATCGGTATTGCATATATCAGAGATCCTTGGATAACCCAGTTACACCTCCCAAAGCCCAAACGATCCTGGTTAGAAGTTGAGGACTTGGTGCATCCCATTAGGCTGAGTATCTATTACATGTTTTGGTGCGCCTCACCTATTCTTTTCAGTGATAGCTAGCCAAGCAGCTGCTGAGCAAACATCGAGCTGGTTTTCTAGCCGTTGAAGCTCCTAAAAGTTCATTTATCCAATTACAAGACTAGAGGCTCAAGTCACGAATCATGTTTGTTTCGCTCTACCGATTTTTCTTGCTTATGAAACAGTTTTTCGGTAGATTTTGGACTTTTTCCAGTAATGCAGTACTTCCATTAGTATGAGCAGCCCACCTCATAACGGTTCTTTCTCTCGATCATCGCTTGCTCAGCTCGCTTTTTGCTCTCGATCAGAGCTTCTCGGAGCATGTTTCGGGCATTACAGGCATCACGAATCTTTGCTAACACCTCGTTCTCTTGTTCAGCCATTTCCTGCAAACCAAGGCTTCTTCAATCTTCTTAGAGAGTAATCATGGTCTATGCCAGCCTAAATTAACGACCGAGGAATACGGCCAAGACAATCGCAATCTGCCGCGCCGACTCGCGCATTGTGCGGCAATGGGCGCAGCGTTCTGCCAGTGGTTACTGTTTTGTCGAGGGGAGCAGCGGTTCATGAAACTGCGATATTGAACACATTTGTGGGTATTTCTGGATTATACGCCGTCTATTGTTGCCATCTACGATTTAGAGGCTCCCTCCAACACCTCGTCCGCGGTGGGCGCGACGTCGTGGGCCATGCCCACAAACGGGCGTGGCCTGCGACGTCGCGCCGCGTTTGTGGGCATGGCCCGCGTCTTGTCACATAATCTGAAATAAGAATGAACTGACTTGCTGTGCTGCGCACTCATTCAGATTCGTTCGCACGAGAAGTTCGGCCATCAGCTGTCTGACATGAGCCATCTTTTCTTGGAACTGCTCTGCTGTTTCAATCTCGTAATCCTAAAATGAGTTCCTCCGCTTTGGTAAAACTTAGACCTGTCTTCGAAACAACCGCATTTTCCTTTCTGGTTTGAATGGGGGAGACATTTTGCTGGCTTCCCATCGATCACTGACGAGTTTCGTGTGAAGATCTGTACATTCCTGTGAAGCGATGCACATAGCGTGAGCTTCGATATCACTTGACAAGAGTATACAGTTCTCAACTAGATTGGACGTAATCTGACATAAAACAGCAAAAAAAGGGCGGTGCTCCTCTAAAAGGGCGGTGCTCCTCTATCTCCATCCCCTCTCCCCTCCCCTGTGCCCATAGCTGTCGCCTATGGAAAACTTAGAGCTTATTCGCTAGATTTTCGATGCGATGCGATTCCCTTTAGGGTGTATCATTACTACAGAGGCGCACGATTCCTCGATTAGCAGCCATTTGACTGTTGTTGTTGTGAGCACGCATTAATGCCACATGGTTTTGAGGGGTTCCCTTGATCTATGTCGGTGAAGTGCTAGTACGACTAACCAGGGAAGTCCGCCAACTTACCATGGAACTTTGAATGGAGACCTGGGTAGATCGATAGAGTCTATAAGGTTATTTACAAATATAGATAGCAAAACTGCAACCTGCATTTCACAAGCAACTTATGAGCAGGTAAAGTTTGTAATGGTGCAGTAGGGTGGAGGCTTGGTGGTGAGCTGTGAAGCATAAGCGAGGAATCGCATACGTCGAATCGAGTCGTGGTGGTTCAGTGGCAAGGTACAGCATGGGGATGTGCGAAATGTCGGTGTGAGTAGGACCCCCCCCCCTTCGAATGGGGTCCAGGCACGACCCACGACCACCCCCGCCCCTCCACCTCCACGGCTTTTTCGCCGACGCGAACGAGCAACGAGTATATAGTCGGCGAAAAAGTTGTCGAGCGGGAGGGGGGGGGGCGGCATATAGTGCATATAAAACAGAAAATTAAAATACGACCCCCCTTTTTCCACAAGAAAAAATCAACTATCAAAATAAATTTGTCTTACAAATACGACCCCCCCCCCAGAGCAAAAGTACGACCCCCCATGGGTTTGACACAACGATGCTGTACCCTGTTCAGTGGTAAGGTTCGACGTTCGACGACTCGATTCGACGTATGCGATTCCTCGCTTATGCTTCACAGCTCACCACCAAGCCTCCACCCTACTGCACCATTACAAACTTTACCTGCTCATAAGTTGCTTGTGAAATGCAGGTTGCAGTTTTGCTATCTATATTTGTAAATAACCTTATAGACTCTATCGATCTACCCAGGTCTCCATTCAAAGTTCCATGGTAAGTTGGCGGACTTCCCTAGGTAAGGCTCTTGTTCATTTAATGAGTTTTCATCATCCCTACAATTCCCTTTGACTTTCAGTTCTCAGCTGTTGTTTTTCGTTCCCCGTGCCTTGCTAGACGTCTGTTCGATCGGTCGTGATTAGCATATGTTCGTGTATGAAAACAACACAAATAATAAATTAGCGTTACATATTTCCTCTCTTAGCAACCGCCTTTACAATTACGGAACGCTTCTGACATTGAGAAGAGAAAACCCTCTAGGACTTACTCTAATAACTACTCTCTACGTCGGAAAACAGTTAAGGTTGCCCTCAAGGCTTTTATGCGTACATATATTATATTCAAACTATGGCCGAAAAAAGTTTACGTAAGAGAGTACAAAACCCTTCTCTAAGTATAGTAAGAATGCTGAGTTATAGGCAAAAGTCTTACCCCAGTCGGGACTTGAACCCTTATCCCACGCTATCCGGGTGAGTGCGCTTCCCGTGGCGCCACCACGGCCTTTTCAGGGAACATTCCGGTCCTGGTTGTATGAGTTTAGCTGAACGTACCCTAGTATTCCTCACTGTTGCGCCCGTTCTCTTTGGTGCAGAAACGACCATTCAAGAACGCGCAGTGAAAATTCAAGGACTCGGGCCGCCCATAAAGACTGGGTGGAATGTGATTACATAAACGTACATAGGCGGGCCGAGTATCTGTTGGAGAAGAATCGTAGAAGGTGATAGCACGAGGCAAATAGCGCAGAGAACTGATGAGGGGGGGGGTGATAGAGGACGTAATAGAGAGTTATTTCATAGGCCATATTGCAAAATAGCACTAAGACTCTGAATGTAAGTATAATGCATGGCGCATTCCAAGAAGGGGTAATTCGT